TCAATCCAGAGTAATCCTCTGGAATTAGTAGATTTATGTCAGCAAAACTCCTGAGTTTGTCTCTGCCCTGTGCAAGGGCCTGCAGTGACTGGGGATTTCCAGGGCTGTGGCAGGGCATTTCTCTCCGAACCTGTGCAAGATCCCAGCAGGAGTAACAGGTTTTGCTGTGTACTACTTCTGTGCATTCAGTTTTCTGAACAGAAACTCCTCTCCTGGAGGGAGTGTGAATGACAAGGGAGGGCTCCAGCTGGAAGGGATCAGCACACATTTTCACCTGTTTATCAGCTGCTGGCCTCCACATTTTCTTTACACATTCACCCTCCCCAAGTCTGTGATCTACCCTCAGTCAGGAGCTTCTCCTTGGTTGTTTCTTGTTAGTTTCCCCTAAGGATTGTTTTTAACTGTCAGGTGACACCTATCTAAATTTTGTGCCTATTAAGCCAAATCTGTATTTCATGTGGCCATCACAGACAATTCCTTTTACCCTTCCATGGTTCTCTACACTACTGCTAATGAAGTCCAAGTCCTCCGACCAACGCTAACCAAGGGCACTTTAGAAGCTAAAGACACATGGAAATTGCCAGACCAGATGAAACTAATGGTCCACCCAAGCCAGATCATTCAATGGTGCATTCAGGCCAGTATCCTGTCTTGGATAAGGTTTATATCACCAGCTTCAGTGTAAAGTTCTCATCATCAAAAAACATAGAATAAATTGCTGAGGAGGAAGTTTCTTTTTAACACTAGGCATTTAGTGGTTACCTTATGCCTTGAAGCACAAGTATTTACATTCCATGTTCTCCCACTAATGTAAGTTAGGTTTATTGGTCATGGCTTAATAGACAGTTTTACCCCTCTCAGGCCTAACTTATGAGCGTTTCCTTCCCTACTCTGCCAGAAACAATTTCCTGTCCTGATCACTTTGTCTGCACAATACAACACAGTTGCTCTCACATATGCCCTGTTCTCTTGTGTTGCCTGAGGCAGTCTCTGTTGAACCTCATGCCTTTCCTCTGGGATCTGTGTTATCCATTGCTGGGCATGGGAGAACACTGTTTAGCTTCTGCCACCCTCTATGTAGCACCAAAGTACTTTAGAATATCCCTAACTCTCATGTAACTCGTTAGTAACATGGTACCACCAGGACTATCCCCTCATTCAAAACTCACACAGTGAGTCATTAACAGCAATAGCAAGTACAGCTTCCAAACCAAACAGCATAGCCCTTCCCAGGGCATCCCATCACCGAAATCCTTTCCAGCAACCACACCTCCTTTCCAGCATAAGCTTCCATAGCCTCAACGCACAATGACATCTCTGATAACCCAGGAGGGAACTGAGCAACAAGGTAGGACTCCTCATCCAAGTTAACTTCAGGCCTCTCTAAAAGTTCATCCTATTAGAAAAGACTCAGCTCTTTTCTGGCTTGCATTGAGTCTCAAAAAAGGCACAGACTGTTATGCCTTGGTTAGCCCAAAAAACTACTACAAAGGTGAAAGCCTAGACAATCATTCATCAGAGGCATCCTCTTGCTCAGTCCTCTCCTTCAGCGCCCAAACTCAGCAAGTTCTCCTCCCCAGAGAGTCCCAGGGAAAGGCAGAACCACAGACACCCACAAAGGCCACTCAGAGGCCACATCAGTGAGACTTACACAGCAGGAACAGAGACCAAATGACTTTTGAACCCCACTCCACAACCACCTTGCTCACCTCACATTCTCTCTCTTATACTCATCTGGTCAAGGGGGTAGTAACACAGCTCCAGCTGCCCCCAGTCAATGGGCTAAAACCATCTGGAGTTTAGATCGTTAAAGCTGATTGCTACATAGTGGATGGGCTTGCAAAGCAGGGGAAAGAAATCTAAGCGAGGCAATCCATGTGGCTACTGCTTAACACCTCCAGGCATTTCAACCGCCAAAGCACGTGGAGGCTTTTGGGGTACCAATGATCCTGTTATCTCCCACCGTTCCTCCACTCTACCCCTCTCTGTTCTTTACTCAACAGTCTTTGGGGAGGCAGAATGCGGTGCAGGGAAGAAATGGAAACTTTTATTAAAAAAAAAGAGAGCCCAACAAAAAGCACACGGAGGAAAAATCTCAGTGTGAAGTGTCTCTAAAAAAGCAGCACGGTGAATATTACAAACCCCCCCATCTATTCATGAGGCCAACAAAAAGCTTCTTTAGATTTATACTGTAAGTCCATTGAGAGCGGAGGAGAGGCAGCCGCTCACACACCCTCCCTTGTACATACAGACAGAGCCCGCAGATCTGCTCCGCACACACACAGGCTGAGCTGTTCTGCCCTCTCACAAGGAAGCACTGAATTTTTAAAAGTAAACTGTAAGGTTTCCGTTGTTGCACTGGGCTCAAGTATTTTTTTATATATAACAGCTCCCTCTCTTTGCCGCGTCTCTCTCTTTCACTTTTAAACAGCCCTGAATGCTCTGGGCTGCTCTGCAGCCGTCGCGCTCTCACTCCGTATGTGGTCCAGACCCACTATGAACACAGCTTTTGTTGCTGCTGCTGGGAAGCTGCCTGCGAACAGCACACACAGCCCGGCTTGTTTCACACGTGGAGGCTGGAGTGGCGTGTGGAGGGGGGAGGAGGAAGAGAAGGAAGGAGCAGTGTGGGGAAGGTTGGACGCGTTGTCTTGTGGTAGAGCAGCCTTCCCACCGCTGGAGAGGGAAAGGGGGAAGTGAGGAGACGGAGGAGGGTGGCAGTGGAAAAGATGTCTCAGACAGCGAAGAAAGGTCCTGTTGATTTTTAAAATGGGACCAGCTGGCCCTCCACCAGCCCACGTTCTGGCTGGGTGGAAGTCAGCATGGGAAGGCAGTGAAGTCACTGGATCTATGCAATTTTACATTTGATGAGGATCTACCCCAGAGAGATCAGGAGAGAAAATACCAATAACAGAATAGATTTGGGAGTCTTTAGGGATTCTGACCATTATATGTATTCCCAGGTGATATCAGAGCACTGAACAAGCCTACAACAATCTGGGCTCGCTTTCATTTCCACATTCATTCATTTCTTTCTTTCTTGCAAGTGACGCTATCTATGCTCTTCTCCTCTAAACACCTTCATGGCCTAAGGTTACCTAAATACCTCTCTAATTAGATTATATTTTACAAGGATGAGCTGCTGTTTGCTCTGACAGTGCTCAGCCTGCTAAATTTTGTTCAGTGTCCTTTTTTTCTTCAGCAGTTTTTTCCCTCCATCTCTTTTACTCCCTCAATTTCCGATCTCATCAGCTCTCTTTGCCCATCCATCCTGCAGCCCTCGTGCTGCTGTCAAACCCAGCTACTGTATGTGGAGTTGATTAAAGGAAACATTAAACAGCAGTTCAAGTGGAACAGATGGAATTTTCCCCTAAAGGCCATTCAGGTTGCTGACAGCACTCAGCCGGTACGCACACATCTCCAGCCCTCACCCTCTGCCCCCGTCCAGCTTATGTGGGAGAGGACGTCTCTCTCTTCTGCACTCTGACAACAGCTTGAAACATCTCAGAAAGAGGGAAGATCTCCTCTTTGATCTATCAGGCTGATACGGTCTCTGAAGCAAGCAGGAAAATATAACGTCAAACAATTAAAGCAAAGAAACAAATAGTTCTCAGTTTCCAAAAGTGCATAGGATAGTCCTCCTCTGCAGGATCAGAAAACCCACCAAACTCAGTCCCCAGACCATTGGCCCCTCTCCCCAACCAACATCCTTTATCTGGAGTTTATAGACAAAAAAATAAAATGGTGACAAATGCTAAACAATTCCTCTCTCCCAACTATTTCCTCGTGGGATATTCCTCCCTCTCCACAGCTGGCAAAGTTATTTTAGAAAACTAAAAAAAAAGCCCCTTTGAACTGGAGTTCTTGGCTAGATGACTCAAAAGGGAAGGGTTAAACGTGAACTTTCCATAACATACAGAGGATAGACTGCTACTTAGGACAAGGTTTAAATGAAAAGTCTTAAAAAGTAATAAATGAATTAAAAGAAGAAATTTCCAATAGAGATTTTGAAGAATAAAACTTTTTTGCTCCGTCTGCTTTTGCAGAAAAGCTCAGCTCTGTGCAAACTACTGCTAAAAATATGCTTCATCTGTGAATCAATTCAGAAAGAGGGCAGGTACTTGGTAACACCCAGAGCAGCTAACTGGACATTTCCCAAGACACTCTGCAAATTGTCAGTCACTCATTCACTGCAAGCCTCACGCAGGAACACACTGTCAAACCTTCAGCTATCCAGTCTCTTTTCATCCTCTTTCTGTACTTGTCACCCCTACCCAGAACTGAACATCTGTATAGCTCAGAGACCACCCTTTGCCTTCCCTGCAACAAAGCAATTAAATAATGTTCAAAGCAATAATCATGAGAATCCCCCTCCCCAACATTTTAGGACATTTGTAACAAATCAGCAAACCACAGCCTCCTTCCCCAGTGCTCAGAAGCAGGATCAGAAATGTCTTCAGCACTCAAGTGACAGCTGAGGTCCATCACAGAGAAACACCAGTGGTTTGGAGGGTCATTTGGGAAGCAAGAAAAGGCATAACCCCCTCTCTGCTCTCCCACCTGCTGGTATCAGCTATACAATCTCTAAAGCCAGATCGCTTGCTTTTCCTCCCTTCCCCAAGCGAACTAACAAACTTGACGCATAGTTGCTGTCTGTAGCTATAGGTTTGCTCTCTGCAGCCTTAATGGGTCAATTGTTGGGGAAGACCATGGCTCTGAGCGGCAGTCGAGCGCGGGAGCACTTCTGGCAGCCTTTACACTTCATACACATTCCAGACAAACTTGTCTCGCACAGGAGCGCTGTTTGCAAAAGTGAAACTTTCTAGAGAAGCTTGGGATCAATCATTTAACAGCTTTTCTCACATTTCTCTGCTTACTGCTCACCAGGGAAACAACCAATCCACTTATTTAGAGCCTGCATCTTTAGAGCACTGAGGAAAGAAAAAGAAAAGTTAAGGAAAAAAAATCTTAGAGAGACGACAGAGCAAAGTGCAATACGTTACCTTTAACAGTTCAGTGCAGTGCTTCGAGAATCTAAGTCCCATACACCTGGCAGAGAAATTAGGTGTTTTTCGGCGTTTAATAAGGAAAGAGCTTGCCACTTCTTGCTGTTACTGTATGTCTTCTTCACAATCTCCAGATGAGTTTTCCTGCCTTTTCTTTCCTGGTTCCCCAGAAGAAATCAAAATTCCCTGTGTGGTATTTCAGGTCCTTTCAGGCAGTGGCAGCAGCAGCAGCAGGCTTGAAGAGTAAGTACTGTGTGTGAATGGCAAAAAAGAGAGAGAGGGTTTCAGACCACATTAGCTGCCACTGGCTGCAAGAGAGACCATCCAGCTCCTGTCAGCCTCCTTAGATACCTCCTGAAGAGCTGGCAAACTAAATGTATTGGATCCTCCTCTGAATTTTAGAGTAAAGGTAGGCAGGCATCCAGGGGGCAGGGGGAAATAGGAGGGCTTATGGACAGAAAAGGAAGCCCAGCCTCTTGGAAAGTGGGAAGAAAACAGAAAAGAAAAGAAAGGGGAAAAAAAAGCATTACCAAAAAAATACTGTAAATGGAGAAAGCTGAATGGGGAGTGGGGGATTAAATTTAGCCCTCTGGTTTGGAACCAAACTACATGGAGCACCACAAGTGGTTGAGAGAGAAGAAATAGTTTATGTAATAAGAAAAGAACGTGTTTTATGCAGACTAAAATAAGATGAAGCTAATTAAGGAACCTGAGCAAAGTATATGTGTCTGCAGTGCAGTCAATATCACTGCAGTCTGACTAGAAATGAACAGATTTACTGGGAAGCTCAAAGAGAGCAGCAAACAGGAAAGTTTAGAGAGCTCTCCTGCATGGCTGAGCTGGCTGCTGACACAGCGCAGAAAGCAGGCAGGTGATGGAAGGAAGCTCAGGTTGGAAAGTGGGAGAGGATGCCCAGCATTAGGAAACGGAAAGCGCCTGGAGCATCACTAACTGATAAGCAACCTAAAGGCAGAGAAACAAGAAGCGATGGACGGAATGAAGCTGTTTAAAGCTGTGTGGGATATACTGGGGAAAAATACAGAGCCAGCAAGCACTTGGGAATGGTGCAGAACAAAGCAACCACCCAAAAACCTCAAGGAGGTTCCCATAACTGCATCCTTGGCCCTTGGTAGTTCCAGTGCTGTGGGAAAGTGCTCAGGAAAGATGAGGCTGTAATGTGTTTTGACCCTTTTTTCTGCGAAGAGATGTAAGTAACTTTTAGTGGCAGAAAAAACTGCTCTGGAAGGATAGAATGGGTCTGTCGCTGCAGGCCACATCTTGGGTTGTGAAGGGGCCAAGTGGCATCTGGGAGGAGGTGGGAAACTGCTGAGACTTTCACAGTTCAGACAGCCCGTTCCCAGCTGAAAAAAGCCTCTGTGTAGCTCTGTGCTAAAGCCTGGGAGTGGACAGAGATCTTGAGCTTGAACTTCCTCAGACCTACAAGAACACCCCCAAGTCAGGCTGAGACTATCCACACTGTGACTCAGTCGTTCATCTGCCCATTCATCGCATTTCATCTGGTTAAGAGACCTCTATGAGATCAACTCTGGGCAACCCTGAGTGCACAGCTGCTGCTCTATGATGCTCCTGGACAGTAACTACACCCTCACAGCTCAGCAGAGATTTCAGTGAAGATGCCTCCACCAGCACATCTCCACTGCAGGAAACTCAGTATATCCAGCCCAAGAAAAAGCCCTCTATGCAGGCTGCAAATGGGTTACCAGAAAGAGAAGAGCAGGAAACCCAAGATGAATCATTTTGCAGGTCAAGTTGTACCCAAATCTCTACAGCTTAAGTATTGCTACTTTCTGCAGTGCTCTTCCTCTGGAAAACAGGGAAACATTTTTAAGCCACTTGGTTTTTAAAGAGGTTTTAAGAGCTGGGAAACCCTCTGAGTTTAAAAAGGAGACAGCTGTGACAGCTCCTTCCCTTAACATGGAATAGAACATCACCAGGGTAAAGGTAAAGGTAAAGGTAAAGGTAAAGGTAAAGGTAAAGGTAAAGGTAAAGGTAAAGGTAAAGTCTGAATGATACTGACTGAAGGCAGGTCTATAACCTTGATTTTTATCCTCTGATCCAACAAGAATACCTTTCTCATGGTGCTTTTGGGACTCTAAAGCTCTATGGTGGTTTCAGTGTCTTGACTCTGCCTGGAACAGCTGGACAATGTGTCTGTCAAGTCTGCTCTGTACCCACCTTGCACCCAAGCCACACATCTCCCCTCAGCCTCTCTCCCTCCACCTTTTTTGACATGATCTTCAGCATCTGCCTTTCTCTCTCTTCTCTCTCCCAACACTCACCTTTGCATTCTGGTTTATGATATAATAGTTTTTCCTCCCTCCATGAATTATTTTGATCCCATTCCTCATTTCAAAACTTGCCTCCTTGCCTGTCTCACTTTTAAACCTGACATTCATAACCTGTTTGCAGCATGCATGCCCTCTTGTGAGAGCCATGCATCCATCATCCTGACAGTTAATGTTCCCAGATCACAGAGCATGGAGACACGCTTCTTTACGTAACCTGCCTTCCCATGAGTAACTTTTTCCATCTTGGAGATTCATGACCAGATTTTGGCATGGATCACCCCCTTTTTTCAGCAGCAGATGGTAACTTAAACACTTTCCTGGTACCTTTATGCTAAAGGGCAAAAGGGCAGGGAGGAAAAACTCTTCACAAGCATTAGCAAAAACAGAGTGCTTGCAGCCCCATTTGAAATTCTTGTACTTTTATTTCCTCCTGCCTCTCATGCCTTTCAACATATAAGGGCACAGCGTGTCTACAGCAGATTTAATCTTCCATCCACCGAGGTCAAGTGAGGGCCTTCCCTCCAACTTAAAGGCCATTGGACCAGTCCCAGGGGCTGCCGCCGTCTCCAGCTGCAGAGCGAATTAGCAGAGACAGAGCTCCGCGTACGCTGTCTCGGCTAGACTGCGCTGGAGCCTCATGTTGCCTTCCCTTCGCTGGCTGGGGCGTCCCCGCTCCGCACCCGCAGCACAGCATAGCCAGGCCACTGAGAGAGGACAGACAGAAACTCTTCAAGTGGGACAAGACGGCTCGTGCTTTAGGCAGGGCTCAGTATTTCAAATTTCACGTAGACAGGAGCTATAAAATGTCACTTCACCGATTTTGTTCCGACTCACGTATATGAGAGGCTCTGAAACTGCTCACGCCTGGCCACAGCCATTTCTCACTGTAACAGAAAGACCTTTTTGGGAAATGTATCGATGTGTAGTTGTTTCGCTGTGGAATAACTGTGAGCCCTGTGTACCCTCTGCTGCTGCTGTGGTTTGGCGAAGCAAACCCTATCTAAACCTCTGGTGAGTTTAAGCCAGGGACTAGAGAAAATTCCACTTTGGAGCTGACCAGCTAGGAAAATGTGATGCTCCTCACAAAGTGGTTTCTTAGCAACTTCAGGAAAGGAATAGAAACTGCTCAGTACCTGCTGGCTGTCCCAATTTTTTGTTTGCATCAGGAATGATTGGAAAAACAGCTAAATATGTTCAGAGAAATTGTGATTCATAAACTGCCACTGAAACTAGTTTTGTTTGTTTGTTTTTCAGCTGGCAAAATCTAACACCCTATTTCCTTCTGGAGGGGCCAGGATAGAAAAGTCATTCAAATGATTTTTGTTTTCTGTTTAAAGCAAGGAAGCAACAATTCAGAGGTCTTTGAAATATGGGTAAAAAATTACAAAAGTGCTACAGTTAGGTAAGATTTTTCTTGTTAAAGTTCAAAGGAGGACCATGTCTCTTCCCCGTAAAGTTCAGCCTTCAGGAGGTGCAACTATTTGGATTGAGAACAAGCCCTGTGTTCAAGGAAGAGTGAATAATAGCTTTGCACTGAAAATTGTTGAATATCCAGAATTTGCATGAAGCAAACATTCACTGAATGAAAGCAGGCAGGAAACAATACCAGATAGAAAAAGATTGAATCATTTAAGGTGTTAGTTACTTGTACTTTCTCAAAAGCAAAGAAAGGCAGGCTTGGGTGGCTTTCTAGAATTAAAAAGAAAAGAAAAAAGAAAAAAGGAGAGAGAATAAAGACTAGAACAACCAATAGAATAAAGTTATCAAACTGCATCTAAAAATTGCACAAATCTAACCATGCACTATTCTGAATCAACGCTCCCTCTCTGCAACTATTATTTCCAAACCATCTCACAGTCCTCTGCTCAATCCCTTGTCTTACTCCAGCAGATGAAACGGAGGGGTTTCTGTCCCTTGAACACTTATTATTTCTAGGATTATTATCACATATTAAATGCTAATTAGGCATTTAAAAAAATAGAATCCCAACTATCCTGTGCAAAGGCAGCTGAATGGGGCAGTGCACAATTTAAAAGTCTGTACAAGTCTTCAGGAAAAGCCACTGGAAATCTAAGGGCAGTCTGGGAGCTTTTGCTTAAAAGTGCTGTTTAGGCTTTTATATCAGTATTTGAGAATTTCAAAACACAACAAACATTCTTAATCAGCCATCACAGGTTACTTTAATTAACAGTACTTGACATCTCCCTGCCGCATGAATCCGTTGTACCATGTGGAAAGGAGGCTTGTAGAAGCAAGGTGACTTGCTCAAGGCTGCAGAGGAAGTCAGCGTCAGAGGCAGAGCCGAAGAATCCCAGTTCGCAGCCCTATTCTCTCTTCTAAAGCTACCAAAGTCCTTGATCCACTAGAAAGCTCGGAAACAATTCAAGCTTTTCAAATGTAGGTGCGTCAGCCTTGCTAAATTGTCTTTTCCAAAATAATGACGGGCGCTGAGGCTTTGTGAGCATGAGGCTGCCACTCAGAAAGGCGAATGCTTTGATTCAGGTGAGAAGAGATCAAACCCCACCTACCTGCCAGTTCTGGACTCACCTCCCAGCAACGCAGGCTGGGAAACACAGAGCGAGGGAAACAGGCTGACAGAGCCTTCACGTCCACCGCAGCGGGAGCAGGACAAGCACTGCCAAAGCAAAACCCTTCATGCCCCTTCATGGGCCACAGGCTGTCCGCTCTGGCTGACAACGGAAACAAGCCTCTAATCAGAAGGGTGGGAAGAGGGCGAAGATGGAACATTTTCTGTATTTCTGCTCAGATGCTTGACACTTTGCATCCTTTATGGCTTTGGGTTAGAGCAAGCAAGTGCACATGTGCGAGAGAAATGCCGAGGGTTTAGGCACTGACGCGTGTGCACTAACATACATGCATATTCAAACTACTGAAGGAAACCTCACCTCATGCTAGAAAACTTTTATTTGGGC